AGCTGGATCAGAAGTGGAACAGCCAAGACACAAACCAGTGAACTTATGGAATGCTGGTGTCACAGGCACAGGTTTTACCTGCTATGCCACAAACCTGCTATGTAGTGGTGTTGACTTGTGAGTATATCCAACTGGAAAATCTTGGTTAGCATGACAGGATGAAATGGAAATTGTCAGGCTTATTTTCAGTTTTTTAATTTAAAAGCTTATTTATCTGCAAGGCAGAGAGGTGGGCAGAAAGAGCTTTCACCACATGGTTCACTTCCCAAGTGCCCACAGACAGCTGGGACTGGGCTGGTGCTGGAGCTAGGAGCTGGGGACACAATCCAGGTCTCCCCTGGGAGTGACAGAAGCCCCGTTACCTGAGCCACCACCATGGCCTCCAGTTAGCAGGAAGCTGGCGATGGGAGCTGGAGCCAGGGACTGAACCCAGGCCCTCTGACATGGGACACAGGCATCTTCGTGCCCAGGCTGAATGCGGTTTCCTGCCAGGCATCCCTGAGGTGCTTCCTACCGCTGTCCCATCACTCACCTTGTAGGTCACAGGTCAGTGCTCTCAGCTCAGACCCCTCGCAGGCTCTGCTGGAGGGACTAGAAGATTCCTGGTGAGCTCGACTAACGCAGAGATGTGCGGGTGGGAAAGGATGTTGGGCACTGTTTCAGCGAATTCTTTGCTCAGAGAAGGTGAGTCACCAACCTGCAGTCACACAGCAAGTCTGCAGCCAATCTTGGGCTTTGGGTGCAGATCTGTCCGTGTTGATACCGGGCTGTAATCTGCCGGCAGAGCTGTGCCGTAATCCAAGTTTGCAAGGGTGAACTGGAAATAGGACGACTCTCCCTCAGATGAACCAGCCCCATTTCATACCCACCTGTGACCGACAGGCCCTCACGCCTTCCTTGAGAAAGACGCTCGGAGGCCCCGTCTCCTTTCCTTTCTCAGCCCTCTAAAGCACTTCATTGAGGAAGGGCGAAAAATCGCTGAATCGACCTTTTTAAATGAACACGGATCCGAACCAAAGAAATTTGGAAGAAGAGAACTTTCTCATCCCAGTGGCTGCCAACGCCCCACCCCCAGCTGAAGGGCTCCCTTGTTCTCGCCTGCGCCGGCCCGGATTCACGGCTGTTCCCTGAATCCTTGGCAATTTTCTCTGCACTGTCCTGACAACCCTCGGCCATGAAATTAAAAAGCTAGTTACCGAATCTTGTTCCTAATGGCTTTGTCCTTGCCAGCAATTCGACAGAGAGCTGGGGAAGAGGGAGCCTGTGCTGGGCCTGCATTGGGCTGAGATGCCACCGGAATGACAATGGCAGCCACAGTGGGAGGAGGGGGAGGATGTGCACTTTGCCAGGAATGAATGAATGAGAGACATAAAGAGAGAAAGAGCAGACTTTGGGCTTCAAATTGAAAAATTCCAAAGCTTCAGCAGAAGCTCTGGGGGCCTTGACTCCCAGACCAGCTACCAAGTGCTGAGCGGGCACATTTCTCCCTGCCAGTGCCCTCTGGCCCTCTGCCCGGGGCCCCAAGGCCTGACGGTTGCAAAGTCAGAACGTGGGGAGAAAACGGCTCCGCACTGGGGCAGTCCTCGGGAGGCCAGGAGGCCGGGAAGCTGGGCAGCTTGCTGTCTGGCCATGCTCTCCTACGTCTCCCCTGAATGCCAACACTGGGGCTAGCTCCACACATCACCCCCTCTCCCGAGGAATTTTAAGAAACCCTCAAAGCCTGGAGGAATTTTAATGATCCTTCATTAAGAAAGAACTTCCTAGGAGACCATTATGTGGGGACTCCCTGGGACACGGGTGTCCCAGAGCTACAGGATGGAGCAGCCTGGCCTTGTTGCTGTCTGTGGCTCAGCCCTTGGCTTTGGGGCCCACAGAGAGCAAGGGGCCCGTGGATACTTTTTGGATAAAAGATTAGGAGCTGCTGCATTCAGGGAGTTCTTTTTTCTGGCCTCAGGCCTATCTAGGCGCAGACTTACAGGTTGAATCGTGATGTGCAGGAGAGCAGGAGAGAGGTGTGGGGTCACCCAGAACAAGGTGGGAGTCTCAGCCCTGTGATTCCTAGCTGGGAGGCCTTGAGCAAGTTGCTTAACCTCCCCAGGTGTGCCTCCTTACCTGTGAAATGGGAATCACCTTGGTGACTGCTCAGAGGGTGGCTCATGAATTAAATAGTCTTTAAAAAAATAAAATCATTTGAGGGGCCAGCGTTCTGGCACGTTGGGTAAAGCTGCCGCCTGCAATTCCAGCATCCCATGTGGGTACTGGTTCGAGTCCCAGCTGCTCCACTTCTGATCCAGCTCTATGCTAGTGGCCTGGGAAAATCAGCAGAAGATGGCCCAGGTGCTTGTGCCCCTGCCATCCGTGTGGGAGACCCCAGTGAAGCTCCTGACTCCAGGCTTTGGCCTGGCCCAGTCAGAGCTGGCTGTTGTGGCCATCTGGGGAGTGAACCAATGGATGGAAGATCTCTCTCTCTCTCTCTCTCTCTCTCTCTCTGTGTGTTTCTCTCTATCCCTCCGCCCCATAACTTTGATTTGCAAAATAAATAAATCTTTAAAAAAAAGTCATTTGAGAGGCAAAGTTACAGGGCAGGGTGGGGGAGAGTAACTGACAAACAGAGAGCTGCCATCTGCTGGTTTATGCCCTAAATGCCTGCAGTGGCCAGATCTAGCCAGGGTCTCCCATGTGTGTTTGAGGAACGCAATTACTTGAACCATCACTGCTGCCTCCCTGGGGTTGTGTTATCAGGAAGCTGGAATGGAGAGGGAACAGAACAGGGATTCAAATCCAGGGGCCCTGATGTGGGACATGAATGTCTTAACTCCTTAGACCAAATGGCCACCCCTAGACCAAGCCTTGGATATAATGTGCTTGTCATATGCCCATGCCCAGTGCCCCAGGCATCTTGGGGTTAGTCTTGTTGCTGAATGGGACTGTGCTGAACGGCCCCTTGGAAGCTGTGTTGGCCCTCACTATCTAACTGAACAAGCGCACTCACTTTTTGTTCATTCACACATTTATCCATTTAGCCTTCTGTGAGCTGCCCTGTGCTGGGAGTTAGAGCTACAAAAGTAGAAGGTGGCCCAGCTTGGTTCTTGGCACTTAAAAGCCAGGAGCAGACAAGGAAACAAACTCAAGATCAAGATCACTTGGGGTGCAGATAAGTTGGTGGTCAGAGAAGGCCTTTTCTGGGAGGTGGCCTTTGAGCTGGGACTACACAGCAAGGAGCCAGCCACACTCAGACCTTCGGGAAGAGGGTCCCACACGAAGAAGCAATATAGTACAAAGGCACAAGCCTGGCCAGACCAAGGGGCTGCCCAAAGGCCACGGTGGCCACAGGTGATGGAGCCGTGGGACATGGAGAGCAGATAAGGCCAGGCAGGAGGCCTTGCAGGAGGGTGGGTTGTGTTCTAAACATTCTGGGGAGCCCACAGACGTGTCATTTCAGGTGTTGGGAGCAGGGGAGTCAGCAGGTATGCCCCAAGGACTGGGGCTGGGCCTGGAGCCCAGAACAGGGGCTGGGTGTGGCTTGCTCTCAGCAGAGCCCCTGAGGCTGGCTCTGGCCCCGCCCTTGTCCTGTGGTGACTGTGAATGAAAGGCCAGGCCTTTCAGGAAGGTGATGGGCCTCTGCTCCACTCAGTGCTAGGCTGTTTGGCCCATCTTCTCAATGGTGCTTGTCTTAGGCCTCTTTCTGTTGCAAGAACTGAATACTAGACTGGGTTATTTGAAAGACAGACATCTATTTAGCTCATTCTGGAGGCTGCAGGTCCAAGAGCATGGTGCGGGCATCTGGTGGTGGCCTGGCTGCATCCTAGCCTAGAGGAGGGCACTGCATAGGCAGAAAGAGAATGTGTGCTGGCTCACCTCTCTCTGCTGCTTTTTTTTTTTTCCAAAAAATTAATTATTTGAAAGAATTACAAAGAGAGGGGGAGAGAGAGAGAGAGAGAGAGAGAGAGAGAGAGAGAGATCTTCCATTCCATTCCATTCCATTTGGCAGGAATAACCAGTTGGCAAAAGGCTGCCCACTTGGGTCAGGCACGATGGCGGGCGGGCACCGGGTCCCAGGGATGGGGGCCTTGATTACTGACTCTGACCTGGAGGCAAAGCCTGCTGCTTACCCCCCGGAATCCCCTTCTCGGCGACTGCCTGCACCGCATCTGCGAGAGATGGCCAGGTTGCAGAAGCCGGCCTCATGTGTTTTGTTTTGCTTCAGGACTTGACCCTGTGGCTGCAATTCTGTCGCAATGAACCTGGCTGAGTTTTGCATGTCTCTGCGGTTCATTCTACAGACACAGAGGTGGAGATCTGTGTGGCAGAACAATCTCTTTTTAGGTTAGGAAATGCAGAATTCATGGTGGCGAGAAGAGGACTATTTCTGTCTCCAATCTGATTTTCTACCCATTTCAGTGTTCAGCTGTGCCATGTTCTAGAACAAAATCCTCTTCCCCTTGCTGTCTCCTCCCTCCCCTTCCTTCATCCCCTTCTCATCCTCCCATCTTCCTCCCTCCTCTCCACTACCCTTTCTCCTTTTCTTTCCTCTTCTCCTTTTTCATTTAAATCTTTTTTTAAAAATTTATTTGAGAGTCAAGGGCTGGGGGTGGGGGGAGATTCCCATTTGCTGGTTTATTCCTCAGATGCCTGCCAAAGCTGAGGATGGGTGGGCTAGAGCTCCAGGTTCACTCCAGGCCTCCCACGTGGGTGGCAGGAAGGAACCCAGTTCCTTGAGCCAGCACTGCTGCCTCCCAGGGCCTGAGTCGTCAGGAAGCTGGAAACGGGAGGCAGCGCTGGGACTGTGCCCCAAGTGTTAGATCCGGAGCAGAAGTCTCCACTGCTGGGGTAAGCACCCGCTCCCCTCTCCTCCTGTTTAAATCAGCCTACATTTATTTGGCTTTTCACATAGGATATAGTAGTGATCGGAGATTTAATGTTAAAGGAAAATCCACTAACCCTGGAGCTGCCAACCTAATTTATAGGAATTCCCATTGCCTCTCTTTTTCTCTCTACAGTGGGAAGAGTTCACCACCACGAGGATGTGTTTTCACTGGCCTCCTGGGATCCGAGAGGAACATAAAGATGTGGAGAAGACATCCCCCTCTTAGCAACGTCCAGTCTAGGGGAACTTTCCCTAGGAGACCCTCGAGACAGACCGGCCCAGGACTGTACATAATTGAAGCGTGGCTCCCAGTGGCATCAGAGTTCAGGCTGAGTGTGGGTGGAGGGCCAGGTGGCCCTGCTGCTGACGGGAGAACACGCATGGGCCTAGAAACAAAGTCTCCCTCCCCCAGTCCCCTATGCCCACATGGAAGGGACCAGCCTGTGTCCTGCTCATCCGCGCTTCATTGCAGCCCATGCTCCTTATGTCATTGGTATCAGAGTTGTCCTCTTCCCTTTGCTCTCACTGGCACCCCCTGCCCTCCCCACCTTGCTCACTGGTTGGGAAGATTCCCTCGAACTCCTGGCAGAATCCAGTGCCTTAGGCACAGCGGTGACGTCATGTTGGCCTGCATCTGGACTCTGCTGTGTGGCCCAGGCAGAAGTTCAGCCTGGTGGTTGGGATGCCCACATTTCCCACCTGGGTTCAAATCCTGGATCAGGCTCCTGACTCCAGCTTCCTGCCAAAGTAGAGCCCGAGTGGCAATGGTGATGGCTCAGCTAGTGGGTCCCTGCCACCTACATGGGAGACTGGGACTGAGTTCCTGGCTCCTGGTTTGGCTTGGGCTAACTCCAGTTGTGTAGGCATTTGGAGAGTGAACCATGGGATGGGAGATCTCTGTCTATCTGCTTCTTGAATAAAAAAATAGTAGGATGTGTGGGCCTGAGCGTCCAAGTCCTCCTGTAAACTGAAGACAATAATCCTCCCTCACAGGGCTGCTTTCAGGATTAAATAAACTATGCATGGATAAATGGCCCAGGGCAGGTATGAGGGGTTCTTGGCAAAGTTTGTGACAGATCAATGGTATGAAAAAAACTATGCATGGGTTTTGAAATTTTTTGCACCAAAATAAATGTATTTTTCATTCCATTTTCTATGAACTTTTTGAAGTGCCTCCCAAACACGAGGGCCAAAAATCCTGTCTGGGAAGGCAGAAGAGTGCCGGCACCCACACCGTGGCTCGGGGATCACACTGGGCTTGCTCCCTGATCTCCAGGGTTCCCCCGGAGGGTTGCATTCAACAGGAAGTGTTGACCCAGTGGTACTAGTGTTGTCGTCGTGGCAACCGTGGCTGAGTCAAGGCCACAGAAATCCTACCTCTCAGTGACTTCGGGCAAGAACCTTGTACTGACCGAGGAAGATGACAAAGCAAGTAGAAAATGATGACTCACCCCTGCCGAGTCTGCACGGGGTTCACCACCCTGCATAAAGGTGTCTGCAGGCAGGAAACATGCTGGGTAATAGGACCCCAGAGCCCTGACAGGACTGATTTTTCTTGAGGCACCCTCTGGATCCCACACGCCACATCCTGTCCTCCTAAGAATTCACACCGTGCCAGGAGCTCATCACATAGCAGGAACAGAGTGGCTAGACCTGGGGCAGCTGGCGTTCTGACGTGCTTTGTTTGCAAGCCTTGAACACCAGTAGCAGCTCTGGCTGGCCCTGGCCCCTCCACGGGCTGCAGGCAGCTCAGAGCCTGGGGACAAAGGAGTTCTCCTTGCCTGCTTATTAGCATGAGGGCAGCAGAGGTGAAAGTTTGCTGTGCTGATTATCTTTCTGTTTGCTGATGCCCAGCAGAACCTCATCGGGGAGCCCCGAGGGCGGCTGTGTGAGATTGAAAAAGGAAGGAGGTTTACTGATATAAGGCCCCTTCCACAGAATTTGTAATCAGGGTGCTGAGGGCCATGGAATTTGTAATCAGATGCGGAGGGGCCAGCCATGTCATGGTGTTAACAACAGAAGAAGTTCACAGGAGCCAGCACTGTGGGGCAGCAGGCTAAGCTGCTGCTTGGGAAGCTGGCCTTGCATAGTGGAGTGCCGGCTGAAGTCCTGGCTGTTCCGCCTTTGCTCCAGGTTCCTATTAATGTGCCTGGGAATGCAGTGCGGATGGCCCGAGCCCCTGCAGCTCGTGTGGTATACCGTGATGGAGTTCCAGGCTCCTGGCTTCTCCCTGGCCCAGCCCTGACTGTTGCAGGTCTATGGGGAGTGACCCAGAGGTTGGAAGAACTCTTTCTGTCTTTCCCTCTCTCTATCAATCTGCCTTTTGATAAATAGGTAGATAGATAGATAGATGAGAGCTTTTAAAAATCAGTTTATAGCGATTGCACGCCAGGCAGTTTTCTAAGCACACATATTAATGCACTTAATTGTCACCACAACCCTATGAGGTAGGGTGCTAACACCCCCATTTTACAGAGGAGAGAACTGAGGCTTACAGAGCTAGAGAAAGAAGTGAGTGGTGACATTCTTAGATTCGTGTGGTCCTAGCCACCAAGCAGCCCATAGTTTGGTGACGGAGTCGTTAGGTTGGGGCAATGGATAAATGAATTGATCACAACTGGAGGTGGATGGTGACACTGACATGAACACAAATAAGTGATGCAAAGGAGAAGAGAACATGGAGAGGGTTAGAAAGGAGGGAGTGTCCTGCGGCTGGAAGGCTTGGCAGGAGAAGGGGGAAGGCGGGAGGGACTCTGCTCTGACAATGGCACGAGGTGGCCAGACTGGGCACTCTTGGAAGCCAGGGCTCTGCGGGGAAGCGGAACTGCACTGCCGAGACCTGCGTGTCAGGGGAGGGGCTGCACTTTATCCGGGCAATAGTAGGCAGCTGAGGCCCTGGACCTTGCTCTTCCTCTTAGTGCAGCGAAGAAGCAGAAAGAACCTTTCTGTTGAATGCCACTGGCCTAGCTCGTGGTCTTTGTAGCCAGGCAATCCTGGTTTCAGTTGTGAGTTTCCCCGTGGATTTGCTCTGTGTTCTTGAGGAAGTTACCCAACTCCTCTGCACAAAAAGGAATAATTACGCACAGTTTATTGGTTTTTGGAGAGAATGAAATATGATAATGGATGCAAAGTATGAGATTTATGCTATGTATTACAGATTTTCTATTTTTATTTATTTTCTATTAATACCATGAACTCTGCTGTATTTTCACTTTTAATGTTTGTCTCTGTGGGGAGCAAACCGGACTAGACTGAGTTACTGGAATTAAGACTTATTCTATGCATCTGCTCTCCCACAATATGGCGCTGGGAGAGAAGTAAACAGCTTCCGCACAGCTGCCTCCAGTTCAACCAATAAACTGTAGGACTTGCTACTGATTGGAGGAGAGCAGCGTACTCGGCGTGTGGGCAGCCGAGTTGGGATTGGCGGAGGAGGACTATAAAGGAGGAGAGAGACGGCATGCACCGGGAACATCTAAGGGGAACATCTAAGGGGAACATCTAGCTGAAGGAACACCTGTGCAGCCCCCGAGAAAGCCGGCCGGCGGTGTGCCGCTCCCCCGCGGAAGTGGGGAATGTGGCCAGGGGGAACTGCCCTTCCACGGAGGTGGAAGGGATAGTAGCCAACCCGGGAAGAACCAGCAGCAAACCCGGGGAGGGCCGAGCAGACGAAAGAACAGCGCAGGGTCCTGTGTCGTTCCTCCACGAAGAGGGGGAGCGACAGTCTCTATAAGCCTTGCCTTCCTATGATCCCTCCTTCTGGAACCAAAAATATAAAAGTCTACCTTCTTTTTCTGGATGAACTCCTATTCAGCCCTCAAGCATCATTGCAAAAATCTCCTATACTCTGAAACCTTTTGCCAATTCCCCCAGCACAAAGTGAGCCCCTCGCTGCACCCTGCCTCTACCCTAGCCCTCGTGCTGTATGGTAATTGGGTCTGTATATGGTCTATTTTCTGGAAGTTTCTGAAGGTGTAGAAACTGCTGTATTGCCCTAGCTTAGTGTTTCTCCAACTGTGCTCTGCAGTACCCTGGGAGACCCCTGACCCTTTCAGGGGGTCCTTGGGGTCAAAATTATTTTCCTAAAAACTCTTGGGGGGGGCCAGCATCGTAGCAGAGGGTTTAAGCCGCTGCCTGTGGTGCTGGCGTCACATGTGAATCCCAGCCGCTCCACTTCTGATCCAGCTCCCTGCTAATGTGCCTGGGCAGGCATCTGGGAAGTCAGCTCACGTACTTGAGCATCTGCCACCCATGTGGAAGACCCAGATGGAGTCCTCAGTTCCTGCTTCAACCTACCCAGCCCTGGCCATTGCAGTCAGTTGGGGAATAAATCAGCAGATGGAAGATTCTCTCTCTCTCTCTCTCTCTCTCTCTCTGTCACTCTGCCTTTCAAATAAATAAATAAAATTTCTTAAAAACCACATGCAAGTTTCACTTAAGACCACCTTTAATGAAGTATTAAAATTATTAATCTTGTATAATCTTGGCCCCGGATACATTTATTTTAAAAAAAATCTTTTTGTGAAAATTTATTTATTTGTTTGACAGGCTCAGTGACACAGAGAGAGGTTCCATTCACTTGTTCACTCCCCAAATGGCCCAGTATTCAGGGTCAGGCCTGAGGCAGGACGCAGGAACTCCGTCAGGGTCTCCACACGGGGGGCAGGGACTCGAGTTCTTGAGGCGTCATCTGCTGCTCCCCTGGCATATTCACAAGGAGCTGGATTCAAGCAGAGGAGCCGGGACGTGAACTGGTGCTCCCATGTGGGAAGTGAGCATCTCAAGTGATAGCTGAACCCACTGTGTCACAATACCTGCCCCACTACACATCGTCTTAATAGGAAAATGGAAAGCGGTGTAAGGGACTCCTACCACAGCACGGAGCACAGGGTAGGCGGCCATGTCCAGGAAAAGCCCCTGTGCAACGGCTCACATTCGAGCTGATTTAGCCACTATTGCCTGAACACCATTTTTACATGAAAGAACAAGTGACAAACCATGGCTCTATGGAGTTGGATATTTGGCAGACATTTTCTCAAAAATGAACACAGTGCACCTGCCACTTCAAGGCAAAGAGCTACCGGTGTTGATGGCCAATGCCAGAATTCCAGCTAAGTTGAGAAGAGTTTATCTACCACTATGAACCTGACAATTTCTTGTTTTACTTCTCTGGTGAGATCTGCAGTGATACGGAGGCATGTGCTTTTCTGATGCTATGTAACGAAATGAGTCCATCTTTGAAAAATGTAATGAGCCCGTGAAGCAGTGGTTTCCAAATGAACAAAGCGTGGTGTTACCACAGCATGCATGGGTGAACAAAGATCCATTCCAAGTGCAAGACAGACCCAGGGGTTTTGATGTGGCAGAGGAGAGAGGAGAAGAAGCTCATTAACCTAGTCTCAGATTGCGTGTTGCAACAACACTGAACCCCATTCAAGTTTTGGTGTAGTACCAAGAGGAGATATCCGTGGTTGTCTTGAAAGGGTCATTACAATGTTTCCCTTTTTCCAAGGAGATATACGTGTAAGGGCAGATTTCTTTTGTTTCTGGAAACCAAAACAAGACCTTGCCTCAGACTGAATGTAGCAGCAGCCACAAGGACCCAGCCGTCTTCAGTTAAACTTCACATCAAAGAAATTTGGAAATACCCTGCTTCTTGAAAAAGTTCATAGAAATGCATATTGTGAAGATACTATGCTTGAATTTCAGTTATTTTTGTGCACCCAAATAAACATGTCTTTCTTCCACAAACTTTTTGAAGGCCCTTTATACGCACCACAGTGCTACTCTTCTGAATAAATGTCTTCATTCTGTAAAATACAGATTATTTCCATAAAAGCATATCTTAGGTTACTATGTAATGGATTTGTTTTTATTACTTTTAAATGAATGAGTAAATAAATAAATAAATAAATATTTGTGATTCTTTAGTGCTATTTTTTTTTTCTATTTTTTTTTGACAGGCAGAGTGGACAGTGAGAGAGAGAGAGAGAGAGAAAGGTCTTCCTTTGAGCGGCGCCGGCCTAATTTTCTTTTTTTAAAGATTTATTTGAGCCAGCGCCGCGGCTCACTAGGCTAATCCTCCGTCTTGCGGCGCCGGCACACCGGGTTCTAATCCCGGTCAGGGTGCCGGATTCTGTCCCGGTTGCCCCTCTTCCAGGCCAGCTCTCTGCTGTGCCCAGGGAGTGCAGTGGAGGATGGCCCAAGTGCTTGGGTCCTGCACCCCATGGGAGACCAGGATAAGCACCTGGCTCCTGGCTTCGGATCAACGTGGTACGCCGGCCGCAGCATGCCGGCTGCGGCGGCCATTGGAGGGTGAACCAACGGCAAAGGAAGACCTTTCTCTCTGTCTCTCTCTCTCACTGTCCACTCTGCCTGTCAAAAAAATTAAAAAAAAAAAAAAGATTTATTTGAAAGGCAGAATGACAGAGAGAGAGAGAGAGTCAGAGACAGAGAGATCTTCCATTCACTGGTTCAATCCCTTAATGTCCACAACAGCCAGTGCTAGGCCAAACCAAATCAGGAGCCAGGAACTCCATCTGGGTCTCTCACAGAGGAGGCAGGGCCCCCAGTACTTGGACCATCTTCCACTGCCTTCCCAGGCACAGGGGCAGGAAGCTGGTTCGGAAGTGGAGCAGCCGGGACTTAAACGGGTGCTCATATATGGGATGCCAGCATCAGAAGCAGCAGCTTAATCCACTGTGCCACAGCACTGGGCCCCGGTTTTAGTATCTTATGTGGCACGTAGAAGCAAAAGCTCTTTGGGGCCCTCACTTATTTCCAGGAGTATAATGGAGCCCTGAGAGCAAAGAGCTTGAATGCTGCTGGCCTGGCTTGAGGCCTGGCACATAGTAGGTGCTCAAGGAATAGGTATGACATCCAGGCCATTGTGAGGGTGCGGTCAGGCCACACAGTCTCAGTGCCACTGTTCCTCTGCCCTTCCTAGGATGGTGTCTGGGCTGCCTGGTCCTCTCCCACTGTGGTTCTATGCAGGGCCTGGCCTTGGTGACTTCGGAGCCCACTTCAGGCTGGGTTCGGCCGCATGGTTCACACTTAGATTACCCATGAGCCCTCATCCCAAATTCTCCCACAGACTGTGGGTCCTAATTCCATTTGTTTGCTGCCTTTGTGGCTGGGTTTAGGCCAGGTCGAGAAGCCTATGGCACTGCTTAGACTGCGATTTGCGATCAAATTTAAGAAATGTGAAGGGTCGAGTCTGGGGCAGATGCAGGCGGTTTGTAAAGCTGGGCTACTTATGAATGAAGCCAAGGTGGACCTCTGGCCACTTGGGCCTTCCCCGCCTGGCCCGGGAGAGACACTGCCTGCAGCAGGAAGTGCCGGCTTCCCTCTCCTTGCTCAAAGGCAGGAGGAGTTAGGTGAGCGGTGACCCTTCCCTGACACCCCGTAATCCAATCTCCCCTCTCCTTCCTCTCTCCTTCCCCAGCTGATCCCTGTGGGCCTGCAGGAGACTGCCTGTCATTAGCGCCATGGCCACGATACACTTGAGGAAACAGTAATGGGGCCTGGGACAAAGCTAATTAGCTAATGTAGTGAGACATATAAATAAAGAAACCCAACAGCCTTGTGGAGGCTGAGGTCACCCTGGAGCTGTGGTGCCACCGTGGCCCTTGCACCCTCTCTTGGGTCTCCGTTGAGAAGGGGCTGCCTGGGGCACAGAGTGGATCTGGGTCCCATGACTGCCTTTGTGATGTGTCTTAGGTTGGATTTCCCACAAAACAGATTCTGAGCCTGGGGGTGTTTAGGGGAAGCAGGCTTGGGAAACACACCTGTAAGAGAGTGAGGGGTGCAAGGGGGGAGGCATTGGGCTATGTGACAGAGGTTCCAGCAGGTCCCCTAGGAAGCTGGGGTGGCTCTCTAGAGTCCTGAATCAAAGCAAGGGTTCTCTGTTTTGCTGGGACCAGAGATCAGATCCTGGCTGTTGGCTGCCCCCTGGAGAGGAGACACAGCCAAGGTCACACAATTCTCTGCAGCCTGCAGCCTGGTGCCAGTGTCAGAGGCCCCCAGCGAGGGCCACCAGCAGAGGGATGGGTGCCTGGGTCTTCGTGGAGCCCCTGGACTGTGCACCCCACATGGAGAAGCCATCTGTGCACCCAGGAATCATAGGGCTATAAGTCAAAGCTGCAAATGCAGAGGCTGCAAGGTCATCGCAAATGAAGTAAGTGTTGTTTGGAATGAAATCCAAGGACATGTAGAGGGTACTTCAGGCGAATGTGTTGGATGGGCTAAGGAAAGGGAGGAGTTGCCCTTTATTGAGCAACTATTTATCACACACCTGGCACTGGTCCTTCATGTGTCATTGCTGATCCTCACAAAATGCCCATTTACTAGCGGGATTAGCAGATTATATAAATGTGTGTTTTCCCTACCTTCAAGGATTGGCCAGAATATGAAGAGAATACATCAACACTCTGAATATTTGGAAACGCGTGGGAAGCTGCCTAATGGGAGGAAGGCTGTCAGCATGGCCGTTCATCCCCTTAACGGGCGGTGCTGCTCAGGGGAGTTCACACGGCACTTCTCCCTCTAGGAAAAGCAGCACAGCCAAGTGCACAGAGCAGAAGAGATCGTTAGACCGGCCCTGTAACCACCACCTGGGCTAGGAAGTGGAGCACTCCCAGCACCCCAACATGCCCAGCCCTGGACCTACCTTCCTCCTCTCAAAAGCTCATCATCCTGGCTTTCAGACGAGGCCGTGTTCTGGAATCCAGTGTGTACAAGCACAGAATTGCTCTCGGGTAGGCGTTTACCCCTTCTGCCTGCGCCTTGGTTTTCTCCTGTGTGAAATGAGAATAATGGTGGCACGGTCATTCTAAATCTTTTAGTGAGGATTAAATACGGTAATGTGGGAGAATGCCCAGAACAGGAACCCCGTGAACGTTAGCTATCGCAGTGTTTGCTGCCCTAGGAGAGGTGGTGGTGGTTTGCACACCTTGGCTGTCCCTAGAGACAGCCCCGGAGCTGCAGGTCTGAATCCAGAGTGCACAAGACACCATGAAGGTACACGTGTCATTGAGGTTTGGCCTCGGGTTTTGGCTGGGACATAATTTCCCGAGTGGAGCGGGTGCCAGGAGTGTTTCTCTGGGGGGTAAACACAGAGAATGCACTGAAGGAAGCAATTCTCCAGTTCAGTCCTATCTCAATCCTTGCGATCATGTCAAGGAGAAAGTGTCTGGCGGGTGCTGAGGTGTCCCCAGTGCCTCTCTGGCACTTATGATCCTTTTTAAAAAACATTTCTTTATTTTAGAAACAGAGAAAGATGGAGAGACAGAGTTCCCATCTGTCCATTCACCCCCCAAATGCCTACAGTGGCCAGGGCTGGGTCAAACCAAAGCTAGGAGCCAGGACCTCAAACCAGATTTTCCATGTATGTGGTAGGAACCTGATTACTTGGGCCATCACCTGCTGACTTCCAGGGTCTGCATTAGCAGGAAGCTGGAGTCAGGAGCTGGGAATGGAACCAGGTACTCCGATATGGGACGTGGGCATCTTAGCTACTGGGCAAACTGCTTGCTCCTCGTGATTCTTTTTAATGGAGTAAGAACAGACAGCAGACTCAGCATTGCCTGGAAGCAGCAGGACCCGGCTGGGTTTCAGTGGCATTAGTTTGCTCTCAGGGTTCTTATTTTTATGCTGGCCGTCTATTTATAGCAAGCACAACCTATTTTAAAATGACTGTTGTGAAAGATGCTTCTTTACGTGAATTTTACATAACAAAAATAAGTGAGTTGACTTCAAGAAAAAGGGGAAATCAGAAAGAGCTCAGGTTGTGCTTGAGCATGGCAAACGCTAAAGGGCTGAGGTGTAAGTGCCGGCTTCAGGGTCAGACGAGACATGTTTAAGAAGGCAGAACTGGCAGCACTGGAATCTGCCCCATTCTTTTGTCTCCCAGTTTATGCCACAGAGAAGGCCACTTCTCATCCCATGTGGCTCGAATTCAACACACTCTCCCCTCCCAGGTCTTCGCCAAGAGCACCCTGAATCTTCTGCAGGCGGGGGTCCCCTCTCTCCTGGCTCTATTCCCACAGCACCTTGGGGCCAGCAAGCGTGCTCGGTTCTATTAGGATAGGGCACAAACTAAATTCCAGCCCTTTGTGCTTAGTGCAGTGCAAAGCACACAGTAGGCACACAACCGGTGCTTACTCTGAATCTGCAGCTCAGTTAACCACCGTCAGATGAGAAGCATGCACACTGATTGGGCTGCACCCAGCCAGAGGGACAGAAACTGCAGCAAAGTGCTAGGGGGCCCCCAGCTGCCAAGTGCACGGGCTTCCTGTGATTTAAGACTTTGCAATTGTAATACTGAACTTGGGAAGAGCACTTGGGAGCTCGGAGGTGAAGGACAGAGCCACGCAGTCACTCCCTGCATTTCTGTGAGATGCCAGGGGCTCCTGACGGATACGGGAGCCCATCGGTGCTGGTGTCTACCGCTGCCCTGTCACCAGGAGCCATCGCTCTCATTGAAACATCGGCTTCCTTTCTCAGGAGCCTGGCGCCTTCGCTTCCCCAGTCACAGATGATCAACCGTGCAGGCAGCATTAGCTGATCGCAGGAGGAAAGAGGCACTTGGAAGCCACAGTCTTCTCTGAACATGGTGATCACCTTTCCTCTGTTTGCACTGGGGAAGAGAGAGACTTCGGCTGGGTGGCAAGCTCCGCAGGGAGCTCTGATGTGATGAGGGCCGAGGGCTGGGCTGTGCATCCCAGCTCCCCCGTGGGCGGCTCTGCGACTGAGCAGTCACCTCCCCTCGCAGAGCCTCGGGGTTGTCACCCTTCCCTCCAGGTTGTGCAAATGCAACTGGCTCAGGGACGGGCAGGTGGCAGTGGCTCTGGCTCCACAAAGTTTCGTCCTTTGCCTGTGAAGCCCTGCCGTGGTGGCAAGGTGTGGGGTAGAACGGCTAGAGAAAATACTAAGGAGGAGGGGAGCTGCTCCCATCTCTGCTGTAATGGGTGCGAATGAAGGACGAGACCAATGAACAAGGCACATCCAGGATGTGCCATTCTCACATTTCAGTGGGGTAAGCCTCATCTAAGGATGGCTGCTGAAATGCAGATTCCTGGGTGCCTGTTCCAGAGATTCTGGGTGGGGCCAGGGAATCTGCATTTTCAACAGCACCCCCCCCCCCCCCCCAGGTATCCCAAGGCAGGAAATTCCTGGCAGCACCTCTGAGAAGCCCTGCTCCAGCTTGCAAAGCTGCACCATCCAGTCTTGGGATCATAGATGGGGGCCATCACCTAAAATGGAGAGATTGTCCCTTGATCCAGATTTCTAGCTCTTTGGGAAACTCTGGAATGTTGGTGATCCTGAGCCAGCCTCCCCACTTGACAGCAAAGCACAAGGGCTGAGTTGCACCTGCTGCCTTTAGGTGGGGCTGCTGCCTCCACAGCCGCTATCATCACTTGTGATTGGCAGCCCCTGGCTGGTCTGGTCCTTCAACCCAGATTAGGAAACCGAAGCTCAGAGCCAGAGTGGCTCAGGCCTGGAGAGTCCAGGGCAGAGAGGCCTCTGAGGAGCTGCCATGTATGTATATGTATATGTATATGTATATGTATATGTATATGTATATGTATATGTATATGTATATGTATATGTATATGTATATAAACCTGAGTGAGGCCTGAGAGTCAGGAGCAGACCATGCCAACAGCAAAGCAAGACAGCTGCCGGGCCCTCGTGGGTGTCAAAGTCTCCAGGAGGCCCCAGAGGAAGCAAACAGCCAACTGCAGTGTAGCAGACAAGGGCTATCCCAGGGGCGTGGCAGAGTGGGGGAGGGAGGGGTGAGGAGTGGAAGGAAGGGTACTTTGGTCCCTCTGCAGAGCCAGTCCCAAGGGGCAAGCAGCAGCTGGTGGCTATTTTTGCCCCCGCAAGAACGGAGCATCCCTGAGGCTGCAGAAAGCGGAGCTGGGAGAGGCAGGTGGGGGAGAGACAGAGAATCCTCTTGCTGTTATGTGAGCTCTTGGAGGGAGTGCTTTGGGTAGCAAGTGTCTGTACTTCCCATCCCCCACCTGAGTGCTGCCAGGCACCATAGAGGTTGCTCAGGTAAAGCTAATAGTGACTATTTTAAACATAAATGTGCCTCATACCATATTGGGGACATGCCTAAACTAAGAGTGTAATTGTGTATCTGAAAGAAAAATTTATCTGGGCATCCTACTCTTTCAGGTGCTAAATCTGGCTACCTTCCTCTCCCCCTCCTTGGGGCGTAAGCCTGCCTGCCTGGGTGTCTGAGTCTTATCATAAAGTGACCTCAACAGAAGCAGGCACTTGTGCACCTGCAACTCAGAGAGGTGATTCAACTTGCCCAGGGTCCCGAGGCAGCGAGTTACAGTGGCTGGGGAGGAACCCAGCTCTGTGATTCCTCTGTTCCCTGTACCCGAGGGGAGCGGCTGGGGCACAACAGAAGAGAGGAGACAGCTCTGAAACTGATGTAACACGATTAGTTTGGAAAAGAATGTGGGACAGGGAGCGGGCAAGGGGACTGGGACTCACCGCTGTTGACTGATGGGCAACATTGCTTTGTTATTACTTAACTCACTCAGTATTTATCAAGCACCCACCAGCTGCAAGGCACTGTGCTTCTCTGATCTCTGAAGTGGGTTGATAGCATCAGAGCTTACTCTTCCCATTTTACAGAATGGGAAGGTGAGGCTTGGAGAGGCTGCAGGTCTCGGGCCACAGGGACTAGGAACTCCCACCTGAGTTGCACACCTTCCCCTGCCAGCCCCAATGGAGGGAGGCCTGTCTGCTCCAGGGTTTGCTGCAAAATCAACCCAATCCCCATCTCCTCTCTGAGCCAAGCAGTGCAAATCGGAATCACTGGCTGTCATGGCGCGTGTGATGTGAAATTCTGTTGCTCTGGCCACAGGCCTCCTTGCAGAGCCCAGCCATGGCTCCTTCCTACCTCGTGAGATGAAAGACACCAAGGAGGAGAAGGAGGACAGGAGCTCAGGGCCTCAGCAGAGCCGGAAGTTGGATCCAGGCCTCTGGTACCATGGTGACAGTTGCTATAGAAACGTACCAGCTGCACTCTGCATACCTACCAGGATCTGTGGGGGTTTTTCAGACTGGAGCCAACGGAAAGGGGAACTCTGTAGTGGTGACAGCCAGGAGTGAGAGCCGCATCTCATCTTGGGTTGCTCCTACCTGTGTCTCCATTGTCATCCCCTGCTACTTCCTGCCCCTCTGCCCCTCCTTTTGTGGTGCAGTGTTGCATGTCAAGTACAGTTGCTCTCGGCCTGGGAAACCCTTTCCGTCTTATTTATTTGGCTAATTCCTCCGGAGCCTCCAAGCCTCCTCCTGACACCCTCCTTCATTCAGTAAATGCATATTTGAATGCATATTGGGTGCAAGTGCGTATTAAGCACAGGGACACAACTGTGACCAAGACAGACAACGCCTGCTCCCAGGGAGTCACTGGTCCAAGCTGGACCTACAGGACATATCCTTGTACATGAATAGGAGCACAGTGTCATGGGGAGGCAAAGGGGACGGCCAAGGCAGCGAGCCATGTGGGTGTGGAGTCAGATGGGCAGGTGCCCACAGCTGCCCCAACCCCAGCCCCCGAGACCCCTCACCTCCATATTCTGGTTCCTCTTCATGTCCTGCAGCCCTGAACCCAAGCTCTGATGTTGCTGCTTGTCTCGCACCCTGAACTGCTCGCTCCATGACAGGTCAGGAATAGTCAGCTCAGTCTCCAGGTCCCCAGTATCTGGCACATAGCAGAGACCTTACAAGGCACACGCTTTTCTGAGTGTCCTCCATGCGTCAGGCAACCTCA